GCTAAGCAAAGCAAAGCTAAGAGAAGCGAAGCGAAGCTAAGCGAAGCGAAGCTAAGCAAAGTTAAGAGAAGCAAAGCGAAGCCAAGCGAAGCGAAGCTAAGCGAAGCGAAGCGAAGATAAGCGAGGCCAAGCGAAGCCAAGCAAAGCTAAGCAAAGCTAGGCAAAGCTAAGCAAAAAGAAGCAAAGCTAAGCGAAGCTAAGGGAAGCAAAGCGAAGCTAGGCGAAGCGAAGGGAAGCTAAGCGAAGCTAAGCAAAGCTAAGCGAAGCTAAGCGAAGCGAAGCGAAGCTAAGCAAAACTAAGCGAAGCTAAGCAAAGCGAAGCGAAGCTAAGCGAAGCCAAGCGAAGCTAAGCAAAGCCAAGCGAATCTGAGCGAAGCAAAGCGAAGCTAAGTGAAGCTAAACGAAGCTAAGCAAAGCTAAGGGAAGCCAAGCGAAGCCAAGCGAAGCCAAGCGAAGCGAAGCTAAGCGAAGCTAAGCAAAGCGAAGCGAAGCGAAGCATAACAAGGCGAAGCGAAGCTAAGCGAAGCTAATCGATGCGAAGCGAAGCTAAGCGAAGCAAAGCTAAGCGAAGCGACTCGAAGCAAAGCGAAGCGAAGCGAAGAGAAGCGAAGCAAAGAGAAGCGAAGCGAAGCGTAGAGAAGCGAAGAGAAGCGAAGCGAAGTGAAGAGAAGCGAAGCTAAGCTAAGCGAAGCGACTCGAAGCAAAGCGAAGCGAAGCGAAGAGAAGCGAAGCAAAGAGAAGCGAAGCGAAGCGTAGAGAAGCGAAGAGAAGCGAAGCGAAGTGAAGAGAAGCGAAGAGAAGCGAAGTGAAGCGTAGCGAAGCTTAGCAAAAGCTAAGAGAAGCTAAGCGAAGCTAAGCGAAGCTAAGGGATGCGAAGCAAAGCTAAGCAAAGCTAAGCGAAGCGAAGGGAAGCTAAGCGAAGCTAAGCAAAGCTAAGCAAAGCGAAGCGAAGCTAAGCGACACGAAGCGAAGCTAAGCAAAGCAAAGCGAAGCGAAGAGAAGCAAAGAGAAGCGAAGCGAAGCTAAGCGAACCGAAGCGAAGCTAAGCGAAGCTAAGAGAAGCAAAGCGAAGCGAAGCGAAGTTAAGAGAAGTGAAGAGAAGCGAAGCGAAGGCAAGAGAAGCGAAGCGAAGCTAAGCGTAGCGAAGCAAAGCTAATGGAAGCGAAGCAAAGCTAAGCGAAGCTAAGGGAAGCGAAGCGAAGCAAAGCGAAGCTAAGCGAAGCTAAGCGAAGGGAAGCTAAGCGAAGCTAAGCAAAGCGAAGCGAAGCTAAGCGAAACTAAGCGAAGGTAAGCAAAGCGAAGCGAAGCTCAGTGATGCGAAGCCAAGCGAAGCCAAGCGAAGCCAAGCAAAGCCAAGCGAAGCTAAGCAAAGCTAAGCAAAGAGAAGCGAAGCTAAGCGAAGCGAAGTGAAGCTAAGCGAAGCGAAGCAAAGAGAAGCGAAGAGAAGCGAAGCGATGCTAAGCAAAGCGAGGCGAAGCTAAGTGAAGCCAAGCGAAGCTAAGTGAAGCCAAGCGAAGCTAAGCAAAGCCAACTGAAGCTAAGCAAAGAGAAGCGAAGCTAAGCAAAGCTAAGCGAAGCGAAGGGAAGCTAAGCGAAGAGAAGCAAAGAGAAGCGAAGCGAAGCTAAGCGAAACTAGTCGAAGCTAAGCAAAGCGTAGCGAAGCTAAGAGAAGCGAAGCGAAGTGAAGCTAAGCGAAGCCAAGCAAAGCCAAGCGAAGCTAAGTGAAGCGAAGCGAAGCTAAGTGAAGCTAAGCAAAGAGAAGCGAAGCTAAGGGAAGCAAAGCGAAGCTAAGCGATGGGAATCGAAGCTAAGCGAAGTGAAGCAAAGCCAAGCGAAGCGAAGCAAAGCTAAACGAAGCAAAGCGAAGCGAAGTTAAGAGAAGCAAAGCGAAGCTAAGCGTAGCGAAGCAAAGCTAAGGGAAGCAAAGCGAAGCTAAGCGAAGTGAAGCAAAGCTAAGCGAAGCTAAGGGAAGCGAAGCGAAGCAAAGCAAAGCTAAGCGAAGCGAAGTTAAGAGAAGCGAAGAGAAGCGAAGGGAAGCTAAGAGAAGCAAAGCGAACCTAAGCGAAGCGAAGCAAAGCTAAGCGAAGCCAAGCAAAGCGAAGCCAAGCGAAGCGAAGCTAAGCGAGGCCAAGCGAGGCCAAGCGAAGCCAAGCGAAGCTAAGCGAAGCTAAGCAAATAGAAGCGAAGCTAAGCAAAGCAAAGCGAAGCTAATCAAAGTGAAGCGAAGCGAAGAGAAGCGAAGCGAAGCGAAGCGAAGAGAAGCGATGTGAAGCGAAGCGAAGCTTAGCAAAGCTAAGAGAAGCGAAGGGAAGCTAAGCGAAACTAAGCGAAGCTAAGCAAAGCGTAGCGAAGCTAAGAGAAGCGAAGCGAAGTGAAGCTAAGCAAAGCCAAGCAAAGCCAAGTGAAGCTAAGTGAAGCGAAGCGAAGCTAAGTGAAGCTAAGCAAAGAGAAGCGAAGCTAAGGGAAGCAAAGCGAAGCTAAGCGATGGGAATCGAAGCTAAGCGAAGTGAAGCAAAGCCAAGCGAAGCGAAGCAAAGCTAAACAAAGCAAAGCGAAGCGAAGTTAAGAGAAGCGAAGCGAAGCTAAGCGTAGCGAAGCAAAGCTAAGGGAAGCAAAGCGAAGCTAAGCGAAGTGAAGCAAAGCTAAGCGAAGCTAAGGGAAGCGAAGCGAAGCAAAGCAAAGCTAAGCGAAGCGAAGTTAAGAGAAGCGAAGAGAAGCGAAGGGAAGCTAAGAGAAGCAAAGCGAACCTAAGCGAAGCGAAGCAAAGCTAAGCGAAGCCAAGCAAAGCGAAGCCAAGCGAAGCGAAGCTAAGCGAGGCCAAGCGAGGCCAAGCGAAGCTAAGCGAAGCTAAGCGAAGCTAAGCAAATAGAAGCGAAGCTAAGCGAAGCTAGGCGAAGCTAAGGGAAGCAAAGCGAAGCTAAGTGAAGCAAAGGGAAGCTAAGCGAAGCTAAGAGAAGCTAAGCAAAGCCATGCAAAGCGAAGCCAAGCGAAGCGAAGCTAAGTGAAGCTTAGCAAAACTAAGCAAAGCTAAGCAAAGCGAAGCGAAGCTAAGCGAAGTGAAGCTAAGCGAAGCCAAGCGAAGCTAAGCGAATCTAAGCAAAGCGAAGCTAAGCGAAGCGAAGCTAAGCCAAGCGAAGCTAAGCGAAGCAAAGCTAAGCGATGCTAAGCAAAGCGAAGCGAAGCAAAGCGAGGCGAAGAGAAGCGAAGCAAAGCTAATCAAAGCGAAGCGAAGCTAAGCGAAGCGAAGCGAAGCTAAGCGAAGCTAATCAAAGGGAAGCGAAGCTAAGCGAAGCGAAGCGAAGAGAAGCGAAGAGAAGCGAAGCGAAGCGAAGCGAAGCGAAGCGAAGAGAAGCGATGTAAAGCGAAGCGAAGCTTAGCAAAGCTAAGAGAAGCGAAGCGAAGCTAAGCGAAGCTAAGGGATGCGAAGCGAAGCTAAGAGAAGCGAAGGGAAGCTAAGCAAAGCTATCAAAGCAAAGCGGAGCTAAGCAAAGCCAAGCAAAGCTAAGCGAAGCGAAGGTAAGCGATGCCAAACGAAGCCAAGCAAAGCTAAGGGAAGCTAAGCGAAGCTAAGCAAAGCGAAGGGAAGCTAAGCAAAGCCAAGCGAAGTTTAGCGAAGCTAAGCGAAGCCAAGCAAAGCTAAGCAAAGCCAAGCGAAGCGAAGCTAAGCGAAGCGAAGTTTAGCGAAGCTAAGCGAAGCGATGCTAAGCAAAGCGAAGCGAAGCAAAGCTTATCAAGGCGAAGCGAAGCTAAGCGAAGCGAAGCTAATCGATGCGAAGCGAAGCTAAGCGAAGCAAAGCTAAGCAAAGCTAAGCAGAAAGAAGCGAAGCTAAGCGAAGCTAAGCGAAGCTAATCGATGCGAAGCGAAGCTAAGCGAAGCAAATCTAAGCGAAGCGACGCGAAGCAAAGCGAAGCGAAGCGAAGCGAAGTGAAGCGAAGAGTGATGGAAATCGTGCAAATCTGGAGAGAACTAATTAGAGATTAAGTTTGACGATCTCAACAGAACATTGCCTGCAACTCAGGTAATTTCTAGAAATGAGCTTATATGCGTTGGAAAGGTCTTAATCTCTACTTTCCAGAATGGTAAAGCACGTTCATAACCAAGATCTGAGCCGCCGATTATGACGAAATCAGTGTGAGGGTATATTCTGGTAATTTGGCTAGGCAGCCATGAATCACCTAGTAAAAACGAGAAGGGAAGCAGTTCGATCTGGAAAAGTTGCAGTATGTGATTGTCAAGCACCACCAACCCTTGCCCCAGACCAAACCCCAAAACTCTCAAGTGCCACGACTGCAACATCAAAGATGTTGTAGTGGGTTTGAGGTTGTATGTGTTGGTAATGTAACGAGTTCAAACCTTGCCAACCAGCCCAATTCCTTTTGCCCAAAACCCAATAGCCCACAACCAGCTAGAGCAAACTACACCACAGAATAATACACATTTATCACTCCCCCTTGCTCGTGCTGGGTGTGGCTCAACACCATAGGGCAAAAGACTTCACACCACTCCCCCTTGTCCATGGGTTGGGGCCACCCAGAGCATGGAGTCCGCCAAGGAGAGGAGCACCAAGACGCCGGCATCTGCTGCGGGAACCCGGTCATCATGGGGCTGCATCCCGAGCAAGGTCATGCACACACCATGGCGCTCAAATGGAAGAGCCTTGGTAAGGATATCAGCAGCCTGACGGTTGGTGGGGCACCACTGCAAAATCACCTCTCCCGCAGCCACCATCTCCCAAATGAAATGCCACCGGACCTGCATGTGTTTGGTGCGGCCACGCAAGCATGCATTCTGTGCAAGGGCAATGGCAGACTGATTGTCCACAAACACAGTCACACCACCAGTATGAGCATGGCCAAACTCCCCAAACAAACGCCTCAGCCACACACCCTCCTGAATGCACTGACACAGACTTATGTACTCACTCTCAGTGGTAGAGAGTGCCACCACGGGCTGCCTCTTGCTCTGCTAAGAGATAGCTGCCCCATTCAGGCAAAACACATACCCACTGTGACTCTTGCGACTTGCGGAATCTCCAGCATAGTCGGCATCACTGAAGCCAACCAGCTGGACCTGAGATTGGGGCTGTGTTTGGAAGAAGATACCTGACTTGACACCACCTTTCAGGTACCTCAGCACTCTCTTAGCGGCCTGCAAGTGGAACATTTTAGGACAAGAGGCGACCTTAGATAGCTGTGAGACTGCGAATGCAATCTGCGGCTGTGTGGTAGTACAAGCATACATGAGGGATCCCACAATGCTTTGGTAGAGCTTGACCAGCTCAGCAAAGGTTCATCCTCATAGGCATGCACATCAAAGCCTGTCGGCAGAGGAGTACGCACGGGATTGGCCTCTGAAAGACCAAAGGACTGAAGCATGTTAAGAATGTACCTCTCTTGATGAATCAAGATACCACTCTCATCACGCTCAATTTGCATTCCCAAGTAGTACTTCACCTGCCCCAAGTCCTTCATGCGAAAACGTAAGGACAAGAAGTCTTTCACTCGATCTAACAAAACCTTACTAGAGCATAGGAGCAAAAGGTCATCCACATAGAGGAATAAGGAGATCCTCTCCTCATCTCTCACAAAGTGGTACAAGGCAGGGTCACACTCAGATCTCTCAAACCCAAAATCCATGAGAGCCTCATCAAATTTCAGGTACCACTGTCGTGGGGCTTGCTTCAGCCCATAAATGGACCTTTTGAGGCGACACACTCGGTTAGACCCATTATCAAAACCAGGGGGCTGCCGCATGTAAAGCTCTTCTTCAAAATCCCCATGGAGGAAGGCTGTCTTGACGTCCATATGATGGATGTCAAGCTTCAAAGCAGCCGAAATTCCAAGCATACCTCTCAAGGTCGCATGCTTCCCAACTGGAGAGTACACTTCTTCATAGTGTACTCCCAATTTCTGCATGTTTCCCATCACCACCAATCTGGACTTAGGCCTCTCAACGGTACCATCAGGGTTATGTTTGTATTTCCAAACCCATTGACACCTGAGGACCTCCAAACCAGGTGGTACCACTGCTGGATCAACCAGCTCAAATGATCCATTTACCTTGTGAGACTCAAGCTCCTCATGCATGGACTCAACCCATTCGGGACGGTTCAGCGCCTCGTGGACTGACCTAGGCTCATGTACCTGACCCATTAGACGAAGCTAAGCGAAGCTAAGCAAAGCTAGGGATGCGAAGCAAAGCAACGCGAAGCTAAGCGAAGCGAAGGGAAGCTAAGCGAAGCGAAGCTAAGCAAAGCCAAGCAAAGCTAAGCGAAGCAAAGGTAAGCGATGCGAAGCGAAGCCAAGCAAAGCTAAGCGAAGCGAAGCCAAGCAAGGCTAAGTGAAGCGAAGCTTAGCGAAGCGAAGCAAAGAGAAGCGAAGCGAAGCTAAGTGAAGCGAAGCAAAGCTAAGTGAAGCAAAGCTAAGTGAAGCGAACCAAAGCGAAGAGAAGCGAAGCGAAGCTAAGCGAAGCTAAGAGAACCGAAGCGAAGCTATGCGAAGCGAAGCGAAGCAGAGTGAAGCTAAGCAAAGCTAAGCGAAGCGAAGCGAAGGTAAGCCAACCAAAGCGAAGCTAAGCGAAGCGAAGCAAAGCTAAGCGAAGATACGCGAAGCGATGCCAAGCTAAGCTAAGCAAAGTGAAGCGAAGCTAAGCGAAGAGAAGCAAAGAGAAGCGAAGCGAACCGAAGGGAAGCTAAGCGAAGCTAAGAGAAGCGAAACGGAGCTAAGCGAAGATAAGCGAAGCGAAGTTAAGAGAAGCGAAGAGAATCGAAGCGAAGCAAAGAAAAGCGAAGCGAAGCTAAGAGAAGCGAAGCGAAGCTAAGCGAAGCGAAGTTAAGAGAAGCGAATCGAAGCTAAGGGAAGCGAAGCGAAGCCAAGCAAAGAAAAGTGAAGCGAAGCGAAGCAAAGCGAAGCTAAGCGAAGCGAAGCTAAGCAAAGCTAAGCGCAGCTTAGCAAAGAGAAGCGAAGCTAAGCGAAGCTGAGCGAAGCTAAGGGAAGAAAAGCGAAGCTAAGCGAAGCAAAGGGAAGCTAAGCGAAGCTAAGCAAAGATAAGCGAAGAGAAGCGAAGAGAAGCGAAGTGAAGCTACGCGAAGCGAAGCTAAGCGAAGATAAGCAAAGAGAAGCGAAGTGAAGCTAAGCAAAACAAAGCAAAGCTAAGCAAAGCGAAGCGAAGCTAAGCGAAGCGAAGCGAAGCTAAGCGAAGCTAAGCAAAGCGAAGCTAAGCGAAGCGGGCGAAGCTAAGCAAAGCCAAGCAATGCCTAGCGAAGCTAAGCAAAGCTAAACAAAGAGAAGCGAAGCTAAGCGAAGCGAAGGGAAGCTAAGCGAAGCTAAGCGAAGCGAAGCGAAGCTAAGCAAAGCTAAGCAAAGCTAAACAAAACTAAGCAAAGCGAAGCTAAGCGAAGCTAAGGGAAGTGAAGCGAAGCGAAGTTAAGAGAAGCGAAGAGAAGCAAAGCGAAGCTAAGAGAAGCGAAGGGAAGCTAAGCGAAGCTAAGCAAAGCGAAGCGAAGATAAGCGAAGAGAAGCGAAGAGAAGCGAAGTGAAGCTAAGCAAAACAAAGCAAAGCTAAGCAAAGCGAAGCGAAGCTAAGCGAAGCGAAGCGAAAGCTAAGCGAAGCTAAGCAAAGCGAAGCTAAGCGAAGCGGGCGAAGCTAAGCGAAGCCAAGCGAAGCCAAGCAAAGCCTAGCGAAGCTAAGCAAAGCTAAACAAAGAGAAGCGAAGCTAAGCGAAGCGAAGGGAAGCTAAGCGAAGCTAAGCGAAGCTAAGCAAAGCTAAGCAAAGCTAAACAAAACTAAGCAAAGCGAAGCTAAGCGAAGCTAAGGGAAGTGAAGCGAAGCGAAGTTAAGAGAAGCGAAGAGAAGCAAAGCGAAGCTAAGAGAAGCGAAGCGAAGTGAAGCAAAGCTAAGCGAAGCCAAGCAAAGCGAAGCCAAGCGAAGCGAAGCTAAGCGAAGCGAAGCTATGTGAAGCGAAGCAAAGCTAAGCGAAGCCAAGCGAGGCTAAGCGAAGCCAAGCAAAGATAAGCGAAGCAAAGCTAAGCGAAGCCAAGCAAAGCGAAGCTAAGCCGAAGCTAAACAAAGAGAAGCAAAGCTAAGCGAAGCTAAGCGAAGCGAAGGGAAGCTAAGCGAAGAGAAGCGAAGCGAAGCGAAGCTAAGTGAAACTAAGCGAAGCTAAGCAAAGCGAAGCGAAGCTAAGCGAAGCGAAGCTAAGCGAAGCGAAGCCGAAGCCAAGTGAAGCCAAGCTAGGCCAATCGAAGCTAAGCAAAGCCAAGCGAAGCTAAGCAAAGAGAAGAGAAGCTAAGCGAAGCTAAGCGAAGCTAAGGGATGCAAAGCGAAGCTAAGCGAAGCTAAGCAAAGCGAAGGGAAGCTAGCGAAGAGAAGCAAAGCAAAGCTAAGCAAAACTAAGCGAATCTAAGCAAAGCAAAGTGAAGCTAAGCGGATCGAAGCCAAGCGAAGCTAAGCGCAGCTAAGCAAAGCGAAGCAAAGCTAAGCGAAGCAAAGCGAAGAGAAGCGAAGAGAAGCGAAGCGAAGCAAAGCAAAGCGAAGCAAAGCGAAGCGAAGCTAAGAGAAGCCAAACGGAGCTGAGCGAAGCGAAGCGAAGATAAGCGAAGCGAAGTTAAGACAAGCTAAGCTAAGCGAAGCGAAGCGAAGAGAAGCGAAGAGAAGCGAAGCGAAGGCAAAGCAAACCGAATTGAAGCTAAGCGAAGCTAAGAGAAGCCAAACGGAGCTAAGCGAAGTGAAGCGAAGATAAGCGAAGCGAAGTTAAGAGAAGCTAAGGGAAGCGAAGCTAAGCGAAGCTAAGTGAAGCCAAGCGAAGCCAAGCAAAGCTAAGCAAAGCCAATCGAAGCTAAGCGAAGCTAAGCAAAAGAGATGCGAAGCTAAGCGAAGCTAAGGGAAGCAAAGCGAAGCTAAGCGAAGCGAAGGGAAGCTAAGCGAAGAGAAGCGAAACTAACCGAAGCTAAGCAAAGGGAAGCAAAGCTAAGCGAAGTGAAGCTAAGTGAAGCAAAGCGAAGCTAAGCAAAGAGAACGAAGCTAAGTGAAGCTAAGGGAAGCAAAGCGAAACTAAGCGAAGCGAAGGGAAGCTAAGCGAAGCTAAGTGAAGCGAAGCGAAGCTAAGCAAAGCGAAGTGAAGCGAAGCAAAGCAAATCGAAGCGAAAGCGAATCCAAGCGAAGCGAAGCAAAGCAAAGTGAAGTGAAGCGAGGTGAAGAGCAGCGAAGAGAAGCAAAGCGAAGCGAAGCGAAGGGAAGCGAAGTGAAGCGAAGCGAAGCTAAGCAAAGCTAAGAGAAGCTAAGCGAAGCTAAGGGATGCGAAGCGAAGCTAGGCGAAGAGAAGGGAAGCTAAGCGAAGCTAAGGGAAGCTAAGCAAAGCGAAGCGAAGCTAAGAACAGGCAAGCCAAAGCTAAGCGAAGCGAAGGTAAGCGATGCAAAGCGAAGCTAAGCGAAGCTAAGCGAAGCGAAGCGAAGCAAAGTTAAGCGAGGCTAAGCAAAGCTAAGCGAAGCGAATCTACGCAAAGCGAAGCAAAGCTAAGCTAAGCGAAGCGAAGTGAAGAGAAGCGAAGCGAAGAGAAGCAAAGAGAAGCGAAGCGAAGCTAAGAGAAGCAAAGCGAAGGTAAGCGAAGCGAAGTTAAGAGAAGCGAAGACAAGGGAAGCGAAGCTAAGAGAAGGGAAGCGAAGCTAAGAGAAGCGAAGCGAAGCTAAGCGTTGTGAAGCGCAGCAAAGCAAAGCGTTGTGAAGCGAAGCTAAGGGAAGCGAAGCGAAGCCAAGCGTTGTGAAGCGAAGCTAAGGGAAGCGAAGCAAAGCTAAGCGAAGCTAAGCACAGCGAAGCGAAGCTAAGCGAAGCTAAGGGAAGTGAAGCGAAGCTAAGTGAAGCGAAGCGAAGCTAAGCGAAGAGAAGCGAAGCGAAGCTAAGCGAAGCGAAGCGAAGCTAAGAGAAGCGAAACAAAGCTAAGCTAAAAGAAGAGAAGCTAAGCGAAGCTAAGCGAAGCTACGCGAAGCAAAGTGAAGCGCAGCGATGATAAGCGAAGCTAAGTGAAGAGAAGCGAAGCGAAGCTAAGCTAGGCATAGCGAAGCGAAGAGAAGCCAAGGGAAGCTAAGTGAAGCAAAGCTAAGCGAAGTGAAGCTAAGCGAAGTGAAGCGAAGAGAAAGCGAAGCGAAGCAAACCGAAGCTAAGCGAAGCTAATTGAAGCGAAGCAAAGCTAAGTGAAGAAAAGCTGAGCGATGCGAAGCGAAGCTACGCGAAGCGAAGCAGAGAGAAGCGAAGAGAAGCGAATTGAAGCTAAGCGATGTGAAGCGAAGCTAAGCGAAGCTAAGCGAAGCGAAGCTTTGCGAAGCGAAGCGAAGCTAAGCGAAGAGATTCTAAGGGAAGCAAAGCGAAGCGAAGCTAAGGGAAGCGAAGCGAAGCTAAGCGAAGCTAAGCGTAGCTAAGAGAAGTGAAGCGAAGCTAAGCGAATCTAAGGGAAGCGAAGCGAAGCTATTT